TGCAGAAATAGTCACAATTCTATGGATAAGAGTGTCAAGAATATTCTGTGAGGATGTGTCATTTATGGAAAGATCAATCTGAATATCCAGACACAGATGAATATCCTGATACAAGTGAATGAAGTATAGGTCCTATATTTATTGACCAACTGAAAATAAATCAGTTACTTAACTATAAAAGTTAAAACAATAAAGATACTAGAAAAAAAAAACCACAAAGACCAGTGATAGTACAGCAGGTAAGGCACTTGCTTTACACACAACTGACCAGCTCAATCACTGGCATCCCATATGGTCCACTGGGTACCACCAGGAGTGATCCCTGAGTGCAGAGCCAAGCGTAAGCCCTAAGCACTGCTATATGTGGCCCACAAACAAACAAAACAAAACAAAAAAACAAACACTGTCCTCCCGTTGTTCATCGATTTCCTCGAGCGGGCCCAGTAATGTCTCCATTTTGAGACTTGTTACTGTGTTTGGCATATTGAATGTGTCACAGGTAGCTTGCTAGGCTTTGCCGCTCGGGCGAGATACTCTCAGTAGCTTGCCGGGCTCTCCGAGAGGGGCGGAGGAATCAAACCCGGCTCCGCCGGGCTGGCTTTGAGCAACGTGAACACCCTACTACTGTGCTATTGCTCCAGCCCTCAAAAAAACAAACAAACAAACAAACAAAAAACCCAAAACCCCCCCACAAAAATTAATCCCTATTATCGCTGATCTGACAATGAATTGTTAGATATGACACCGAAAGCAGGAGCAATGAAGGGGAAAAAAATTGGCAAACTAGGGCAAAAGACAGTCTAGGGGCACATGTAGAGTACCAGGGTAATTCATTAATTACCTTGCACGCAGTCTACCCAGTATGGTCACTGGCACTGCCTATGGTTCTCAATCATTGCCAGGAATCAATCCTGAGCACAGAGCCAGGTGTAGCCTCTGAGGCTCAAAACAAAACAAAATATAGTATTAGAAGCCCTTTAAAACAAGATTCACTAAAACAGTTTGGTCCCAGGCATCCCTTTTGGTCCTGAGAATACCATCAGGAGTGATTCCTGAGAACTGAGCCAGGAGCAACTCCTAAACATTGCCAGGTTTGACCCCCAAACAAAAAACAACAACAAAATGCCAGATGACTTGCAATCGAAACCATGATACATAATTTATGGGGGTTTCCAACATCAGTGGTGTGTAAACTCAAAGAAGGGGGCACGGCACACAGCGGCGGTGGCTCTATCTCTCCCGATGCCCGCGTTCGGTAGTCTCACCCTTCTTCCCCTGGGCTCAGTGAATGGTTCCCTGAGCACAGCCAGGAGCGATCCCTGAGCAACACCAGATGTGACACCAAAACCAAAACCAACATTGAGCACATTAGTATAAGTGGAAAAAAAAATGGAATCAAAAAATAGGTTAGGCAAGGAGGGAAATTCAATATCACACTTTGCAAGGTGCTCAGAATAGGGAGCTGTAGAGACAGCTGGGGAGGAGTTTGCCTTATATGCAGCTGACCTGGGTTCAATCCCCGGCACTACATATGGTCCAGGAGTGATCACTGAGGGTAGAGTTAAGAGTAAGCCCTGAGCACTACCAGGTGTGGCCCCCAAATAAAACAAAAACAAACAAAAAAGTGTCTTTCAGCTCAGATGTAGTAGAAATCTGGGGCTGTAAAGCCACATACTGCTGAGATCCACTCTTGACCATGCTGTGGGAGACCTCAAATATGATGAGGCTCCAGACTAATCACTTTCTGTCCTGCGGGGGGGTAGGAGCTTGCAGTGGCACTACAGTCAGCTGAGGGTCTCTAGCATGCCAAGTATGCACTCAGCCCCTTGAACTATCTCTCTGGCTCCTCTTGTGCTTTTTTACATTTGGGGGCAATATCTGGTAGTGCTCCAGGGATACTCCCAGAACAGTGCTCAAAGGGCAAATGCCCTACCTATTGTGTTATAGTTCCGGTCCCTGGATGAATTACTCTTACTTGTTTCACTTTATTATACAATGACATTTAGCACTGGCATTGTTGTAAGGTCAGAGCACCAATACCAGTAATAAATGAAATTGTTGGAGCTGCAAGTACAGTACTTGCCTTGCATGGCTGCTGCCTCCTGGGGTTCAATCTCCAGCACCACATTTGAGTCCCTCCAATAGTGACCCCTGAGCGCCACGAGGTGTGATAAAAAACAAACAAACAAAAAAACAAACAACCCAGTTTGTTGCTTACCCAACAGGGGATTCCTCCAGTGTAAAGTATATTTATATTGTTACTATTGCCCTATTGTATAAATGCTACATTGAATGTTGTTGATCTTTTTTTGCTGCAATGGATCCATCATTTAAAAAAAAATGGGGGAGGTAATATAATAAACAATCCATCTGGTCTTTATCTCCTGGTACAGAGCTTCAAAACCTCTGGAATTTCCCAAGTGTCAGGAACTTCTCTGTTATGCTAAAGATGCCTGCCAGGCTCAAACACAGTGAAGTATCCCTGCCCTCAAGACCTTTCCAGACTTTGCCCTACCTTTATAATAAGAAGATAACCTAAACAGAGTGCTCTAAGGCGGAATCACTGATCCAGAGAGTTTTCATTAGTAAAGTAAAGTAAAGTAAAGGCCCTCCCGTTGATCGTCGATTTGCTCGAGCGGGCCCAGTAACGTCTCCATTGGAGACTTTGTTGTTACTGTGTCTGGCATATCAAATACTCTCGGTAGCTTGCCGGGCTCTCCGAGAGGGGCGGAGGAATCGAACTCGGGTCGGCCATGTTGGCCGCGTGTAAGGCGAACGCCGCCCTACCCGCTAGTTTTCATTGGAAGCAGCAAATTTGCAAGCAAATCAGGCCTAGTATGAAGGTGGGGCCCAGCAGCCCTCTTGTGGCTGGCTCTGAAATAAGATTGGTCTTGTCTAAGTGCCTGCATTTTTATTTGTGGGTGCTTCAGAGAAAAAAAGTTAGGCCAAACCCTAGGTATTTTTTGACAAAATCATTTCATTCCCAGGTGATGGGTGAGAGGCCAGCAGCTCTGCTGTTTGGGATCCCTGATGCCATGACAAAGTGTGCCAGATGAAGTGCTTGGCCACCAGGAACATTCTAACATCTGGACACAACCAAGAGTTCAAGTGCCACATTCAAGTGAGTTTGACCTCTGGTCATCACATAAAAAAACAGTAACAAAAAGGCATCCAGGAGGTAACCCAAAGGACTGAAGCACACCTTGCACTAAGGAAACCTGGTTCAATCCCCAGCACCACATGCTCCCTCATGCCTCCAGGTGTAGTCCGCAGCCCCCCAAAAGGGAATGGAGAATAATGCTGGTGTTTTGGTGGGGTGGGTCACACCTGGAGATGCTTAGGGGTTACTCTTGGCTCTGCACCCAGGAATTACTCCTGGCGGTGCTCAGGGGACCATATGTGATGTCAGGGATCAAATCTAGTGAGGCCATGTGCAAAGGTGAGTGCCCTTTCTGCTGTACTATTGCTCTGGCTCCTGAGAATACATTTTAAAAAAGAAAATAAAATAAGGGCCAGAGTGATAGTACAGCAAGTAGGGCACTTGCATTGCACAGCATCTCATATGGTCCCTGAGCACCACCAGGAGTGATTCCAGAGAGCAAGCTCAGGAGTAATCCCTGAGCACTGCTGGGTTTGGCTTTAAAACAACAAACAAAAATAATTAAAATCTTTTTAAAAATGGAATGAAGTATTAAACATGGATAAATCTTGAAAACAGTATGCTAAGAGAAAGAAATCAGTTACAAAAAAAAAAAAGAAAGAAAAACACGTATTGTGGGCTGGAAAAATAGTACAGTGGGTAAGGCATTTGCCTTGCAGTGACAGACCTGGATTTGATCACCAGCACCACATATGGTCCCCAGAGTATCATTAAGAGTGGTCCCTGAGTACAGAGCCAGGAGGAAGCCTCCTGAGCACTGCCAGGTGTGCCCCCCGCCCAAAGAAAAAAAATCCACTGGAGGATGCAGAAGACAGTGCAGGGATTGGGGTGCACATGCCTGATACCCTGTACTGTCAATTCCTAGTACCACACGACCTCTAAGCATTCTGGGCTGTAGTCCTGTAGGCCTCTGGTCACTACTGGGTTTCTGGGTACCCCAGTACTGCAGGCCAGAGCAGCATCACATCCTCAGGCCCTAACACAGAAATGTTGGCTCCATTAGCTGAGTATTGACTGAGTATCACTCAGAGTGGCTTCAGGCTCCCTTAAGAACTGCTCGGGAGTGCTTCCCACCAACCAAAAGGGAAAAACATCAAAGAATCCACAGTGAGGCTGTGGTGTGCTCAGTGGGAAAGCAAATGTCTCGCATGAGTGAAGCCCTGAATTTGCTTCCTGGACGGACACATTCTCTCTCTCTCTCTCTTTCTCTCTCTCTCTCTCTGACATACACACACACACACACACACACACGGGGAATGGGAGGAACAGAACAGGTCTGGCCATAAGTTCCTAACTGCTGCTGCTGCATGCATCATTCTATTGTCCCTGCCATTACCTATGCCATTCTCTAAGAGGAAAGAAAAGAGTGGCACACATTGTCCTCAGTCAGCACCTTTGCTGAGCGAGTATGTATTTTGATCAGCTGTTGAATTATTGAGGGGAACCTGAGAGACAGGGAAGCAGGGAGAGGGTGCGGCTGGTGGCCTGGGGTCTCCGCTCAGCGCTCACTGACCATGCAGCAGCCATGCTGATGGTGGTGCTGGAAGTAGAGCAAGGCCAAGGGCCAGGTAGGATCCCTCCCCCAGCCCCATTCCCTCTCAGTCAGCGCAGGCTGAGGGGTTTCTTGGGTAAGGGCGATGGTTCAACCATTTCAGGTTAGAAAACTGAGATGAAGGCTAAGAGCAACACTCGATTAGAGCTGATATGAAGCCACCCTTTCTCAGGCCCTGAGGAGACCTACCCCCCTACAATCCTTCTAGAGGGGCCCCAGAGCATCTGCCTGCTTCAGTCTGGGACCCTGGAGACTCAGGTAGAGGGGAGGATAGGGAGCAGGTGGGGCATGTGGGAGCAGGAAAGATGCCAACCTCTCCCCCATGCCCAGGAACGCCTCACCTTTGACAGAGTCCTGGATGCTACTGCAGCTCAAGTAAGGGGTGCTGGGTGATGTGTTTGTGCCGGGGGTGGGGGGGGTGGAATGGGGGAGCTCTTGGAGCCTAGGATGCCTGGGGGCTTGCAATGACATGAGTCTCCTGGCAGGAGGCAGAGCAGGAGCTGCTGGCCCGAGTTCAGCCTGCACTGCGCTCTGTGGGTCGGGGGTACAGCGTGGCCCTGCTGCTTCGGGGTCGGGAAAGAGAGGCACCTCGGCTAGTACCTCAGGTGAGTCCCAGAGGCGCCCCCAGACCTAGGTCTCCAGAGGTTTGGGCTTTTCTTCCTCCAGGACACTTTCTAGAACCTTCCCTCTCTCCTTGAGGATCCTAGAATGTCCTCAGGACATTCTTCCAGGGACAGTTTATGCAGTGACTGAGAGGTCAGGGAAGGTGGGAGAGGGCCAATGGGGCACGGTCAGGGAGAGGACAGGTGAAAGGAACCAAATAGGGCTGGGTGATGCCAACAGTGGTTTGAAATGTGAAAGCCTTGTTTTGCCCCTATGTCAGAGGGTTGCCTTAGAAACTTGTCATCTTTCCTGCATCCCCATCCCAGCCTGAGCCATCCCCCAGTCCGCCCTCACCTGCAAGCAAATCGCAGGGTCCCCTGTAAACAGCTGTTCACCAGTCTGCTCCTATGAGTTCTTCTCTGTCCTAGTCACCATGTCCATGGCACATGCACGGGCAGGGACCAACAGGACAGGCAGATCCATTCTTGCAGCCCCTAGCTGAAACCCTCTCTCCCCTCAGCTGCTGCAGATGCTGTTTGAGGAGGCTGGCGGGGGCTCTGCTCCTGGGCTGAGCACTCTGAGCCTGGTGCAGGTGAGATGGGCAGCTGGTCAGGTTGTGCTGAGGAAAGAGCCAAAGGGTCGCGGGCAGTCGGGGGCCCAGTATCCCCCATCTTTTCGCTCTCCTGTGCGATTTTCCTCACTGGATATCTCCTTTATTCTTGCCCCTAATGGCTAGAGTTACTTTGGTGGGGTGGTGATGTTTGGGTTTTGGGGCCACACCCAGCAGTGCTCGGGGGCTACTCCTGACTCTGTGCTCAGTCAGTCACTCCTGATGGTGCTCCAGGGACCCTACGTGGTGCCCCCAGGATCAGCTGTATGCAAGGCAACCCCTTCACTTTCTCTCTGGGCCCCAGATGGCTCGATTTGGGTGTTCTATTGGCACCCAGGGCCTTGGAGGGAGGCTCCTGTGAACTGCAGGCACGGAGAGGTGGTGGTTAACAGTGTGTGTGTGTGTGTGTGTGTGTGTGATGCAGCTCAGCAGCCACGGGAAGGCCCGGGACCTGCTCTCCCCAGGGGCAGAGGAAGTGTCGGTGCTGCACATGACTCCTCTGGGCGTGTGAGTGTCCTGGGCCCGGGGGGTGGGGGGCTAAGACTGATACCCAAGTGGAAGGCTCCTTTCTCTCCCTTCCTGACACTTGAGGGAGGGAAGCTCTGGATTTAGGGTCAATGTTATGAGACCTGGGTTTACCCCCAGGACACCCCTAGCCCTTTCCCCTTCTCCTCAACTCCCTCAATGTTACACTGCATGTTTTTTTTTTTTTGGAGGGGGGCACACTTATCAGTGCACAGGGATTATTCCTAGCTATGTGTTTGGGATGCTGGGGATTAAATCTGGGCCCACCACATTCAAAGCAAATGCTCTCCCAGCTGTACTATCACTCCGACCCCAACACTGCATGTTCTGAATATCTCACTGAGCGGAACTTGAGCTTCTCAACCTGTAAGAGGGGCACTAGTCAAAGCAGCCCCTTTGTTTCTCTCATTGGGCAGATAACAGGGAAACTAAGATGGCAAAGAAGAGAGGGCTAGACCAAGCTGAAGAGTCTTGGTAATGGTTTTCCTGTGGTCCAGAGGTCCTTCTGTGCTTCCCGTGCAGAGGTTCTGGGGAGTTAGACAGAAACCCAGTGCCGGGTCACTGATCTCAGCCTCCCCTCGTCCAGGGTGGTGGAAGATGCCCGGGAAGTAGAAGTGTCTGATCCAAGAGTGGCTTCCGAGCTGTACCTGCAGGCCTCAGGGGGTGATGGCAGGTGAGGAGAGAGGACGCCTGTGTGCCACTAGCTCCCCTAGGCACGTGGCCCAAGCACCCCTCTCCTCCACAGGGGCTGCTCTCTGCTCTCCCTCACCATGTCCCATCCAGGGCCTGACCCTCCCGTGGGGCACGGAACTCAGGCCATGTGGCACGGGACTTTGCGGATCCTGCAGCTCCCAGGAGCCCCGTAAGTCTGATTGCTAGGGGAGGGTTCAGAAATAATGGAAGCAGAGGCCCCTCCCTCTTACAGTACAGGCACGCCAGACCCAAGCAGGTTTGTTCCCTGAAGAGGTGGTAAGAGGCAACCAGGAATTAGTGGAACTATTAAATAAATCATATCTATGTACATACACACATACATATATGTGCACATACATGTGTATATGTGTGTGTGCATAAAATTCAGCCATGGTTTTCTTTGGGAAGTGGGGTCCACACCTGGTGGTGTTCAGGATTTACTCCTGACTCCCACTAGGAGATCACTCCTGGTGGGCTTGAAGGACATATGGGGTGCTGAGGATTGGACCTGGGTCTGCTGTGTGCAAGGCAAGTCTCACTGTATTACCCCTCTGAGCGCCCCCAGGCATGGTTTCGAGTGGACTAGGGAGTGTGAATCTCATTCTCATACAGTGTCTTCAAGCCTTTTTTTTTTTTGTGGGGAGCATACTTGGTGTTCACTCTTTGAGTACTTTGGAGTTTCCAAGCTTCTTGGATGTGTGGTCAGCAAATAAATCATTTTTTTTTTCCTTTTTGGGTCACACCCAGCAATGCTCAGAGGTTACTACTCCTGGCTCTGCACTCAGGAATCACTCCTGGTGGTGCTTGAGGGACTATATGGGATGCCGGGAATTGAACCTAAGTTGGCTGCATACAAGGCAAATGCCCTCCCCGCTGTACTATTACTCTAGCCCAATCAGCAAATAAATCTTTTTTTTTAAATTTTATTGATTCACTGTGAGATGTAGTTACAAGCTTTCATGTTTGAGTTACAATCACACAATGATCAAACACCCATCCCTCCAGGCAAATAAATCTTAAGGTCCTCTCATGCCTCAGTCTTTTCTGAGCATGCAAACAACTGTGGACATATATATTTGGGGCTTTCTTGGCTTCCCATTACATGTGGTAACTTTTCAAAGCCCTCATTCCATCAAAATCTCACTCTCTTACTTCTCCCAGTCTGTACAGGTATCTGCGGTTAGTCTCTTTGTTCTTTGTTTTTCACCTCGCATTATTTTGGATGACATCCTCTTTATTACTGCTCTATTCTGAGTTCCAAGATAAACGATGGGAAACCCTTTCCAGCTTTCCTCTGGAGAAACCCCAGATGGTCAAAACAGAAAAACAAAATTACTGAGAACAAGATCCACTCTGCTCCTTCCAGAAATGTGGTACCCCATCCAGAAGTGTGGACTTTTTGTTGTTGTTTGGGCTGATGCTGATGCTCAGAGCTTACTCCTGGCAGGGTTCACAAGACCATATTCGGTGCTGAAATCAAACCTGCTGGATTAGCTGTATGCAAGGCAAGAGTCATTTTTGTCAAATGGAACAAATCTTCAGAACTGCTGATGTCAATATGCTTTGTCAACTTTTTTTTTTTTAATATTTGGAAAATAAGCTGGGGAACTGAAACCAGGTTCACTGTGTGCAAGGCAAATGACTTACTGTTATACTAACTTCCACAACGCTCCAGCCCCATTAATTATATGAATACATGTAATTAAAAAATAATAGTAATAAATTAGGGTCGGAGATGTGACTCAAATGGCAGAGAAGATGATGAGCATGTAAGAGACACTGGGTTTGAATCTATGCATTGCAAGTCCGCCACCCCACAGCACCACTGGGTATGGCCTGATTGCCCCTGGGAAAATCACAAGCTATGCTTTAGTAGAAATGAAACTAGAGGATGGAGAGCTAGTCCAGTGGGACTTACTTGCATGCCCCAGCCTGGTTTAGATCCTGACACCATCTATGGTCTCCTGAGCACCACCTTGAGTGGTCCCTGGGCACAGAGCCAGGACTAATCCCTGAACACTGCCAGGTGTGGCCCAATCCCCTGGCTGCAAAACCTAAACTAAAATCCAGATTTACACTAGGTTGCCAGTTGTGGGCTAGAGAAGACAACCCAGAAGGAAGTAACAGAACTGGTCAGAACTTTCCATCTGTGTGTCTCCAGCCTTCTCCCCCGACCCACCAGTGGGCACGGCCCTTTCCCTCCCCTGGCAGGGACTGCCCTCTGCTGCAGGTGCTGGCTGGCGAGGTGGCTGATGAGAAGGAGGAGGGCTCCCTGCCGTGGATTGTCTCTTGTCTCCTGGAAGGAAACAACTACAGTGGCCTTCTTCTTCGTGTGGACCCTCAAGGTGGCCTGGGGAAGGATATGGGGTTTCCTGGGACATTCTGGGATCTGGCCTGGGGCGTGAGCAGTGCAGCACTAGCGTCAAGAGAGGGCCAGAATTGAGAGGTGCCAAGGTGGGGAGGCAGGTCAGTAATAAAAGCAGCCTCTCACCCATCTTAGACCTTCCATGGCTGGGGATTTTGGTGGTGGAAAATGTGCACTGGTGAAGGAATGGGTGTTTGATGATTGTATGACCAAAGCTCAAACATTAAAGCATTGTAACTGTATCTCATAGTGAATAAAAAAAAGGGGGGGAATAATAAAATAAAATTAACATTCTGAATTTAAAAAATTCACTCATTAAAAATCAGGCTTGGTTCTGGAGTGAGAGTTCAGCAGGTAGGGCGTTTGCCTTGTATGTGGCCGACCCGGGTTCAATCCCCAGCATCCTATATGGTTCCCCAAGCACCACCACCAGGAATAATTCTTGAGTGCAGAGCCTGTGCATCACTGGGTGTGAATCAGAAAGGAAAAAAAACCAGACTTTAGGGGCCACAGCAATAACACAGAGGGTAGGGCCTTTGGCTTGCACACAGCTGCCCTGGGTTCCAACCTTGGCAACCCAGATGGATCCCTGAGAACTGCCACAAGTAATTCCTGAGTGCACAACCAGCAATAACTCCTGAGCATTGCAGTGTGTGATCCAAAAAGCAAATAATAATAATAATAGTAATTTTAAAAAATCAGGCTTTAGTGATAGTATAGCCGGGTATCTGGATTTGATCCCCACCACTCCATGGTTCCCTGAGCAAACAAAACAAAACAAAATAAAACCCCCACCCCCCCAAAAAAAAGAAGAAGAAACAAAATGAGGCCTCTGTGAAAAGACAAGTTGCCAGGGAACTTGTTTAATGGAAGGTAGAGATTGAACAAGAACAGCCATAATTTAAGGATTGTGTGAGCTGGACGGATTTCTTATACTGTGTACACTGTCCACTGTCCACTGTCCTCCTGTTGTTCATCAATTTTTCTCGAGCGGGCCCAGTAACGTCTCCATTGTGAGACTTTGTTGTTACTGTGTTTGGCATATCGAATACACCACAGGGAGCTTGCCAGGCTTTGCATGTACACATTTAAATAAAAAATTTTTTTTTTGAATCGGTGATGCTCAGGGGTTACTCCTAGCTTTCCACTCAGGAATTACTCCTGGTGGTACCCATATGGGATGCCAGAAATCAAACCTAGGTCAGTCGCTTGCAAGGCAAATGCCAAACTCACAGTACTATCCCTCTGTACCACCCCCTGCTTTTTTTTTTTTTTTCAGTTAGGCCACACCTAGTAGTGCTCAGGGCTTACTCCTGACTCTGCACTCAGGGATCATTCATGGCAGGGCTAGGGGGACTATATAGGGTGCTGGGGATCAAACCCAGGTAGGCCATTGTAAAATAAGAATCCTACCTGTTGTACCCTCTCTGCAGCCCAAATTAAAAATAATTTTAATGAAAAACTTTAAAAAATATATTAATCCAAGGAAAACATTTATGAAAATATATTGCTCCAAAACTATATTATATTATGTGCTCTGGAGTGCAGGGGCAGAAGTGATCACTGAGTTTCTCTCACCAGGCAGCTCCCTGAGCTTGCTCCAGGCTGCTCTGTGCGGGGCACTGCGGAGGCGGACACAGGTGAAACTGGTGCACCCCACCCTGTGGAATGCAGTGCAAGAGGCCCGGGCCCGGCGGCTGGGCTTGAAGAACCTGCGTTCAGGCCTCTTGGGGGACACCCTAACCCATGGTAGACTCAGCCAGCTGGCCAGGGCCCTGCAGGAGCTACGGGTAAATAAGGTGAGGCCTGGAGGCGCCTGGGCCAGCAAGGCCCAGAGCCCGACCTGAGCCCTCTCTCCCTAGGTCGCAAAAGCCTGGAGCCAGCGGGTAGGAAACTGGATACTCAAAGGCCTCGAAACTGAGGCAATGGGGTCCCTAGAACCACCGGTATGTCTCATTCCACTGCTTAGGAGCCCCACTACTGGCAAAGGAGGGGCTCTTCTTTCCTTCCTTCATCCACTGATTTCCACACACTATTGTCTACTCACTGTGTATTGGGCACAGCGCTGCACAAACCCAGGGAAATCCTGGGCCTGGAGGAGGTATCATCTGCTGGAAACAATGGCGTGATCAGTTCTCTGGTGGGCTTATCGGACACACGGTTCTGGGGCACCAGAGTGTTGGCGAGAGGGAAGGGAGTTAGCTCTTGAAGGAGGTGGCCAGTAGACATGAGTGGAGAGGAAATTCAAGGCAACATCACAGCAGTATGTGAGGCCCTGGTCCCATTGGGGACGTGCAAACAGCTCCGTTTGCTGGAGAAGAGTTTGCAGAAGAGAGTTAGGAGAGGAATGCAGAGGGAAGCATGGGCCAGTACACACAGGACTTCCTAAGTTTCAGATGTTTTGATTTTGTCTAGAAGGGAAAAATCACAGAAATGTTTTATTATTTCATTTCTAATTTGTTAGTTTGGATTATGTTAATGCCAGTGTATACAGTATTGATGTACCAAATTACCACACCGCACCCCTACCAAGAGCCCACAACCCTCCACAACTGTTCCTATGTTACTTCTGGCCCATCAATTATTTGGCCCCTAATACCCCCACCCCCACCCAGTTAGTAATCGGTAGCATAATACAAGTCAAGGGTTTGTCATTCTTTGATAGTGCCTTTTCTCTCTCTCTCTCTCTCTCTCTCTTTTTTTTTGTTTGTTTTTTTTGGGCCACAACTAGCAGTGCTCAAGGCTTACTCCTTGTTCTGTGGTCAGGGTTCACTCCTGGCAGTGATTGGGGAACCATATGTGATGCTGGGGATTGAACCCGGTTCAGTGGCATGTAAGGGAAACGCCTGACCCACCACTGTACTAGCTCACCGGTCCCCTTTCCCTTGTTTTGTCTCACTAGATTCTGTACACAGTAGTATTTAAACAGGGGAGGAACTGCTCCCACTTCCCAGTGAACAAACTGAGGTTCAGAGAAGGAATGACAGTCATGGGTCACTGGGATCATACAAGGTGGCAAGAGTGCAAACAAGCCCAAGTCCTGAGATGCCATGTGGTGCTTTCCCTATGTTAAGATGCACGGGCCCCTTTTGTGCAGAAGAGGGCGCTGTTTTTCACGATTTGTCAGGTAGAGGCTGGAATTCAAGTTCAGCTTCTGGTTCTTCATTACTTTTTTTTTTTCTTTTTAAATCAGGCATTTATAAACAAGAAAGCATACATTAATTACATAAAAATAGTCTTTGGATAGTAGAATAAGTCATATTGTCATTAGCAGCAGCGAAGGAGGGACGGACAGACAGAGGTGGGCGCTCGGTTGTCAGAGTTGTCTTATTTTCTGGGGTGTTTTCACCTAAGGGAGGCTGTGCTCTGCCCCACCCCTATGCTGTGGTGCCCAGGTCAGACCCACTTTGTGTTCCATTAAGGAAAAGCCCTTGGCCCCCCGAGTGCCCACCTCCATCTGTCTGTCCCTCCTTCATTACTTTTTTTTAAAAACTTGTAATTCTTTAAACTTAGGTTTTGGGGCTGGAGAGACAGAGATAGAACAGCGAATAAGGAGCTTATCTGCACGAACTGACTTGGGTTTGATCAGCACATATGGTCTCCAGTACCTCATGTTTTCTTAGACCCCACTAGGAGTGATCCCTGAGCACAGAATGAGGAGTGAGACCTAGCATTACCAAGTGTAGCCCCAAAACCAAAACCCCAAACCAGCCAACAACAAAAAACAACTCACAAAAACAAGAATAAAAATATTGATTTTTATTTATTTATTCTTGCTTTTTGTATCACACCTGGCGATGCACAGGGGTTACTCCTGGCTCTGCACTCAGGAATTACCCATGGCGGTGCTCAGGGGACCATATGGGATGCTGGGAATCAAACCCAGTTCAGCCGCGTGCAAGGCAAATGCCCTACCCTCTGTGCTACTGCTCCAGCCCCAAAAATTGTTTTTTATTTTGTTGTTTTTTTTTTTCTTTTTGGGTCACACCCGGTGATGCACAGGGGTTACTCCTGGCTTTGCACTTAGAAATTATCCTGGCGGTGATCAGGGGATCATATGGGATGCTGGGAATCAAGCCTGGGTCAACCATATGCAAAGCAAACGCCCTACCCACTGTACTAGCACTCCAGCCCACCAAAATTGTTTTTTTTTAGAGGCCTGGGGAAGGTAGTTCAGGGGTTACAGTTCTTGCCTTGCATGTGACAGGCAATGCATGGTCTTTGAGCACCACTGGGTATGGCACTTCCAGAAACCCTAACCTTGGATTTTAGGAACCTGGGCTTCAGGAATTAGGTCTGCTCACTTCCATTTACTGAGCAGTGCTTGCTACTGCTGAATGGTTGTGTGATTTATCTCTCTTTATACACTTCACAGCTATTTCCCTCCTGGGGTGGTGGGGGTTGGGTGGGAGATATCAGATCCAGGGCACTTAAGGGACCACGTGGCACTGAGGCTTGAACCTGGGGCTTCTGCATGCAAAGCATTCCAGCCCTTCGAGCCATCATCCCAACCTCTTTCTAATTTCAAACAAAGTCAAATGAGGGAATAGAGACCTAAAAGATAGTCACCTGCAAGCCCAAGTAAAAGAGGGATCAGGGCCTGAGTCCAGTGGGCAGGGCTCTTGCCTTATATGTGGCCCTCCTGGATTCACTCCCTGACACCCCATTTAGTCCTCAGAGCACCCCGGGAATAATTTCTGTGTGTAGAGATCTGAGCATCACCCAGTGTGGTCCGAACCACCCTCTCTCAATAGGAAAAAAAAAAAAGAGAGAGAGGAAAATGAGAGACTGAGAATGACTGGTCTGATTTCAAACCAAGCACGATCACAGTATCATTTCTTTTTAAAATGTGTCTCATGGGAGGGGGAGGACCCAGAGGTGGCAGGGCATATGCTTCCCATATGTATGGCACCAAGTTCGATTCCCAGCACTACATACCCACGTCACTCCTATCTCCACTGCCAGGAGGGGCCTGGGGTCAAGCACTGCTGGATGTGACCCCTATAAAAAAATGAAAAAGAAAACCATGGGGCTCGAAGATAGTACAGTGCATAGGGCACTTGTCTTGCATGTGGCTGATTCAGTTTGATCCCCAGCATCCCAGAAAGTCCCCTGAGTACTGCCAGACATAACTCCTGAGTGCAGTGTCAGCAGTGATCCCTGAGTATCACTGGGTGCGGCAAAAAAACCCAAAACCCAAATAAACAAAACCCAACAAAAAATTGTCTTGTGTGTCCCAGGATGCAACATTAAAAATCTGTGTCTGTGGTACCGGGAATGCTGCCTCATATATGCCAGGCAAATGTTCTAGTGCTAAGGGATATCTCTGCTCAAAGCCCAGCTCTTAACCCAGGATGTCGCAGGCGAGAGGGTGTGGACTGCTGGCTCTCATCTTCTCAACAGGTGACAGGTGTGGCAACAAGTCACAGCCCAGGCCTCCAAGGGCAGCTCCAAGGTGGGTTGAGGGCTTGGGAGCAGAACTGGGGGGGGGGAGAGGGGGGGCAGCAGCTTGTGCACCTTCGATGTGTTTAACTGCATTTTCTCCCCATGTAGGTAGAGCATCTCTGGGACATGGGCTCCATCAAAAGCATCTCCCCAGTGACTCCGAGGAAGAGGTGACACCTTGTTACCCAGAACAGCTGGGTGCAACTGGTGGAGTGAAAAATAGCCCAATTGCAAATCTTCTCTTCTCTGTCTCCTGCCTTCCCTGAACTAACACCAGGGACATCTATAGACCAAATAAAGGACCAGAAGGGTTAATGACTCCCTGGGGGAATGGCATGAGAAAGGGCTGCTGACCTAGGGGATGGATTAGGGTCTGCTGGGTCTCCATGGAACCTATGGACAGAGCCAACACTTCTCTACCCCCACTGCTCCATGGCCTCCAAATTTCTGTCTGGGCCACAGGCTCTTCCAAGCCTGTGAGGTCCTAGATGGTTTGGGGAGCAGCCCTGGTCAGGGGGGTTCTGTGAACTAAAGCTGTGTGCACTCATGGGCTTCTGTGTGGGCCTCCCATACCCTCACACCACCAACAGGTCCCAGATGTGCCTCTGCAGTTTTTCCTGGCTCAGGTCCGGAGGCAGAGGCTGCGAGAACAGCACCAAGTTTTGATTCAAGAAGAACTGAAGCATTTGGAACAGGAGGAGGAGGAGGAGGTGGCAGATGATCAGGTTGAAAGTCTGGTGGCTGGAGAGGATGTGAGGGGGTTCTTCTGGGGTTCCTGCTAATGGGCCAGGCTGTCCTGAGGGCTGCCAATCACCAACAACTGGACCACTCTTTTCTCACAGCCTTGTGGGAATACAGGAGGGAATTCTCAGTGACAAATGTGATGACGAGGGGTTTGTGGGAATCTGACCCAGGCTGGAAGTAGCCCTTAAGCAGAGGCTTATGGGACAAATGAATCAGTCTGAGGAATTCATTAAACCCTGGGCACTGCAAAGGCAGCCTGTGCTAGACACACAGACATACTTGCTGAAGAGAATTTGTCAGGAAAAATGAAAGAAAAATTGTTGCGCCTGGGCAGGGGCAGGAACTGTCACATGTGCTGAGAGAACAGTACGGTACGAGCCAGTGCCAGAGGGGTTGTGAATTGTTGGCTAGTCTGGCAGCTTCTGGGTCAAAGGCAAAGCTAAGGAGCCCAGAATGCACCACGCCTCTGGACTTGGGCTTCAGCCTGAGGTTGAGGGAGAACCTTGGAAAGCCACGTCCCAGTTCCATTTCTCCTCAGCCACGTGAACTGCAGCCAGTTAGGCACTGCTCTGACCTGCTGATTCCACATTTGTAAAATGGCAGCTGCCCTGTACTGCTGCTGTGGGATAAAACTGAAAAATACACATGAAATTCTGGGTTGGGGCTTACAATGCTGTGCATATGAAACAAATCTTATTTAAGCCCTGTCCCCCAGCACCACTGGGACCGGATCCTGAGTACTGCTGGGTGTGATTCCCCTGAACAAACACACACAAAATTTCTAAAGCCTGGTACTGAGGTGGCGTCCATGGAGGGTCTGTGTCTTTCCCCTGAAGGTCTCCAAGGCAAGGCAGGGATGGCACCGGGAGCAGATGGTGTTGAGACTTCAGCTGGAGGCAGTTCGGGTGGAGCGGGACACTGCCGAGCAGGACCTGGCTGCCCTCTATGAACTGCATGTGTGCGCTGCCCGCGCTCAGACCCGTCACGTGCTGCAGGTGAGTGGGCGGGGTCAGGCCCTGTGCTGGTCAGGGTGGGCTGCTGACAGCGCCTCTCCGTGGGCACAGGTGTTCCAAGCCTGGCGAGAACTGTGGGCAGATCAGGTCGCGGACCGGGAGCACCGTCACTGCAGCCTGCTGGCCGGCGTCCTGCAAGACGCCATCAACCTAGCCACCCAGAACCAGGAGCTCCAAGCCCAGAACCTGCAGCTTCATGGGGTGCAGACGAATCTGCCGGGAGCCATGTCTGGCTCTCAGCCTGGGGAGAGCTCTGAGAATCAGGAAACCTTTGGAGAAAGTTTCCGTTTTCCTCATTCTTCAGAGTTCCAGGAGAGGCCGTTGGGACATGGTGACCAAGCTAAGCTTAATGACAGTTAATGAGTAACACCTCTGGGCTGGGGCAAGCACTTACAGGTTGGAGCACAGCGGCCCCTGATTTGATCCTTGGCATCACATGGCCCCCAGCACTGTTAGGAGTGAACCCCAAGCACAAATCCTGGGGCTAGGCCTTGAACCTCACTTAGTGTGGTCCCCCAAACAAAAGTAACACCTTTCAACCAGATCACTTCAATGTTGAGCCTCTGCTAAGCACCTAATAGGCATATTTCATTTAGCCTTTCCCAGCACCCTGCACGCTACAGCTACATGCTGCACAATGATGTTTTGGTTGACAACAGTCTGCATAGACAACAATGGTCCCCCAAATCCTATTACCTAGCAACACAGCTCAGTTTCCTATCACTGGCAGCAGCCTCATACATCTCTGCAACCTCTGCAGTGACAAGACTGCTTCAAACCGCAGCTCCCAGTGTATCCCCACTGGAGAGAGGAGGGACTGTGGCAGTGGGCACTGTGTGATGCTCATCAGAGACAAGGCAGCTAAAGCCAGAAAAAATGGCAGAACTCCCAATGGCCCCTCTGCTAGCACTAGGTCAGTCTGCAGGGTCCTCATTCCCTGTCTAGTGGTCTGCAAGATAAGCAGGTATTAGAATCACTAGGGAGCTCATCAGGAAATAGAAACTAAACACCCTGGGTGCAGCCCTGTTGGGAAGGCCTTTTCCCCCCAAAATAAAAGAAGCCTTGGTTTTGATCACAAGTACCAACATGCCTCCTTGCCCAAGGTTCTCAGTTCTAATCCCTAGAATCTGCTTCAAGTCATTTGGGGTCTTGCACATGGAAGGCATAAGCCCAGGATTCCTGAACAATCTTTCAGACCTCTAGGACTTTGCCTGTGTGTATGTGTGTGTGTGTGGTTGTGGTGGTGGTGGGGGGGGAGTGGGCAGGCGTCCATACTCAACAATGCTCAGGGGTTACTTCTGGCTCTATATGCAGAAATCATTTCTGGTGGTGCTCGGGGATTCGATCTAGGTCGGCTGTGTGCAATCACTCTGGGCCCTCTTTTTGAAGATAGACTTAGCAGATATTCTACCAGAAAGCTAGGCCGAAGATGCCAGTAGGATGTCAGTGACGGAAGCTGAGGAAATTGGCCCAATGGGAGGAACCACACAGTGTCCAGGCCAAGTCTATAGATTGCCTAGCGGGGCTCAGCATGTTTACGCCCAAGTCTTTCTCCAAATTCCCCAGGATCCAAAAGTTTTGTGCTTCATTAAGTTTCAAAAGTTCTGCGGCAGACAATGGTCTGGGCTCCTTGAAACCTTCGAAAGAATGTTGGGGCTGGAGCAATAGTATAGTGGGTTAGGTGTTTGTCTTGCATGTAGCCAACCTGGGTTCGATCACCAGCATCCCGTATTGTCCCCTGAGCACCACCTGGAGTAATTACTGAGTGCAGAGCCAGAAATAACCTTTGAGCACTGCTGGGTGTGGCCTCAAAACAAGGTAAAGGTAAAGGTAAAGGTAAAGGCCCTCCCGTTGATCGTCGATTTGCTCGAGCGGGCCCAGTAATGTCTCCATTGGAGACTTTGTTGTTACTGTGTCTGGCATATCGAATACTCTCGGTAGCTTGCCGGGCTCTCCGAGAGGGGTGGAGGAATTGAACTCGGGTCGGCCATGTTGGCCGCTTGTAAGGCAAACGCCCTACCGCTGTGCTATCGCTCCAGCCCAGGCCCCAAAACAAAATAACAAAAAAAGAAATGATGTTGGTAATACCAGTAGAAGTCTTTCCAACTAGTTTATGTGACCCAAGGATTAAAATACTTGGGTGAGAGGAGTAAAATTATGCTGAAAGTTATGCAACAGAGAGACAGGACTACCACAGGTGACATAGGAACACTTTATTAAGACCTTATTGCTCTCCCATTAGAGACACTGATTGAGATATACACAATTCTCTGCACCTGCTCCCAGGTCACTTGTACGGAGTTTCATGGGGCTGTTGGGAGCTGGGACGCTGTTGGGCAGGGCCAGGTCCCAGAGTGGGAAGGATGGAACCTCCGAGGAGTCGCAGAGGGGCAGTGGGACCTGGGGGTAAGCAGAGAGGTCAGGGGTATAGGCTTAAGTCAGAGCCCAGGGGCAACAATCCCTGAGATGAGTCAAGCCCCAGCCCTCCCAGGGGTTCCAGAAGGCTGGGAGTGGAGCAGCACTGTGGAGGTGATAGGGGCACAGTCTCCAGGTGTTCACGGAAGTGGGGGAGCTTGGCAGAGGGGGCATGGGAGATAGGCATATAATCTGTGGCAACTGGGCTTCCCTGCAGCATAGTGGGGGTGAGGATCCCTTAGGGGTGGCACGCACCACAGCTCGGCTGGAGCAACCAGCACCCAGGTGCAGGGGCCGCCAGGATGACCACAGAACCAGAGGCAGCCAGGAGAGCCAGTTGCTGTCCACTCCCAACTCCATCTCCGCAGGATGTGCTGGGAGCCTCCTCTATTGAGGCCACGGTGACTTCTCAGGTATTCGTGCTTCCGCAATTCCTGGGTCTGAAGAATGTGTGCGTGTGTAGGCATGTGCGCGTGCATGTGTGTGTGTGTTAGGGGTCATTTGCATGTGTGTGTATGTGTGTGTGGTAGGGGTCATTTCCTTGGCCAAAGTAACTCAAGGCTCCCAGAGGCGCCCGCCTCCCAAGACTAACTTGACTGCTCTCATACCCCCAGCTTTTCTCACAAGGCACTTGTTACAGGGCTGCTGAGAGGAGAGGGGCCCAATGGACAGGGTAAGGAGTCAGGGGGAAGTGGTCAGGGGCTAGTGGCTGCCATAGTACAGGCGCACGGCTAGGCCAATGAGCAGCGTGGCCAGGAAGAAGGCTGCCGTGAGCTGCAGCCGCAGCAGGACTGCTGAGAGCACAGCGTTGACCACGAGTGAGCAGGACACAACGAAGAGGCGTGTGATGCTACTGCCGTGCTTCATGACAGCCGACATGAGCAGTCCGTTGAGGGCCTGGCTCAGCACCACGAGTGCTGCCCAGCCTGAGAAACCCTCCAGGAGGCCTGGGCCCGGGCCACTGCCTGCGTGCAGGCCGAGGTTCAGAAGCACGCCGAAAGAGTAGAGGAAGAGGTTCTGAAGGGCCAAGGGCAGCCGCTGGCGCTTCATGAGCAGTTCTGTGTACACAGAGGACAAGCCGGAAACGAGGCAGTACAGGACGAGAAGCAGCAGTCCCAGTGGAGTGATGTGCAGGAGCATAGGGTTGGCAGCTGCTGCCGCGGGGGACCCAGCCGGGGTGCTGCTAGGGTCCTGGAGGCCCCCAGCTGCATAGCAGGCCCCCGCTGCCATAAGTAGCAGCAGGGCTAAGCCCTGGCGTGCAGAGAGGCGGTGCCGGAGGCAGAGACAGTAGAACAAGGCTGTGCTTCCAATCTTGAGATTGCTCAGCACCTGGTAGGTGCTGGGGTCCATGTACCGCTGCAGGTAGATCACCAGGTTGTTGTTTGCGCCATAGAGCAGGGCTGACAGAGCAAAGGGGGCAGCCTGGCGCCAAGGTGGGCCCCCCCGGGGCCATGCCTGCCAGCCCATCAGGAGGGAGAAGGCGCACAGGAGCAGCTTGGTCAGCTCCGTCAGCAGCACAGCTGAGGAGGGCCGGAAGGGCACACGGCCTTCCACATGGCACAGGGCCAGCAATGGGGCATGGGCACCATACATGGTAGTGGACAGGAGTAGCATCAGCATCCAGCGGGCCTGCCTGGGACGGCCCAGGCCTCGCATACCCCCGTCCTCTACACTCATGCCCACACCAGACTCTGGGTGGCCCGTGTAGCTAGCAGGGGGGCAGTGGAAATCATAATACGCTTGGGGAAAATCAAGTTATGGATCCAGCTTCCAGGAGGAAGGAGCCGTGGTACATCGCCAGAGAGAATACCGAGTGTCAACATGAGCTGCAGACACTGCAGTCGAGACCTGAGGGGACTGGTGGCCTTAGAAGCCACAGTCCCAGGGTGACTCCCAAAGACTAGGGAAGGAAGGAGTCCTGGGTGCTGGCTGACTAGCCACTTTCCATCCTCTACAGGAGACAGGATGAAGGTGGCAGGGAAGTTGGAGAGAGCAAGTGGGGTAACAGCCAGGGAAGCCAAATATGGCGTCTGTGGTCGGAAGGCCTCCTCCAGCAGGCCCCAGCTACTCATCCTGCCGCCCCCATGACATCCAGACTAGTCAGGCCCCTTGCGCAGTGACCGCAGATAGTCCCTCAACGTCTTCTCCACATTGGGCACAGCATATGCCTGAGCTGCGTAGATGCCAGTGCAGGTGCCCACGGCAAAACCCAATACGGCTGAGGCCCTCAGTTTGGCCACCACATAGCCGGCCAGGAAGCCCTTGAGGAACGGGGAGGCCAAGAGCGAGCCATCCTGTGGAAGAAAATGTAGGGCGACACTCAGTGAGGATCTCCCCTTCTGTCCTCAGAACTACTCAGGTGAGGCCCCAGACACCCCCCACCTGCTTCTGCTCACTCTGAAGCCCTAGAGGCGACATGCAAAGTCCTCATGGTCTGAGGCGGAAAAAGAACTTCGGAGTCCTGACCACACAATCTTAGAACCTTGGGATCAGAACCCTATTGCCACAAAGCCAGAGAGGTGTCCCTGAGGAAACTGTTCTCTCACCACTTCTCCCTCAGTTTTAGCAAGAATAAAGCCACACTACCACACTGAACTGCTTTTACACCCCCCATCCCCGCCTTCATCCTGCTACTTCCCACCACTGGGCTTTGCGCACACTGCTCTATTTAAGGCTCCAGTTCAGGTGTCATTTTCTTAGAGAAGTCTCTCTCTCTTTCCTGTCTGTCTGTCTCTTGTTTTTTTTTTGGGGGGGGGGGGGCACACGCAGCTGTTTTCAGGAGTTACTTCTGACTCTGCACTCAGGGATCACTCTTGTTGGAGCTCCTGGGACCATAATGGAATATCGAGGATTGAATCTGGGTGGCTGTATGCAAGGAAAGAGTCCTACCTATGGCCCCTCAAGAAAGCTTTCTTTTTTTTGCTTTTTGGGTCACACCCAGCCGATGCTCAGGGGTTACTCCTTGCTCCGCATTCAGGAATCACTCCTGGTGGTGCTTGGGGGACCATATGGGATGCTGGGAATTGAACCCGGGTTGGCCACGTGCAAGGCAAATGCCCTGCCCGCTGTGCTATTGCTCCAGCCCCAAGAAAGCTTTTCTTTGGGGGTCACATAGAACAGGTCCCTTAGTAACCATTCATTGAAGTCATCTGCCACCCACATTTGCACACTGTCCAGATAACCCCGACGGGGGCAGCAGCTAGGGTAAGCCTTACCTGGCCCACACCACTGCTGACTTCGTCTTCCACGCGCCGCTGCAGGTGCTCCAGCTGGTTCTTGAGGAACGCCAGATCCTTAAGCTTGGGCAGGGAATCCTAGGACAAGGGAGAGACTGGCTCTAGCAGACTGACTCAGCTTCACTCTTGCTCAAATTTATCAGAGGCAGAAAAATATTTTCCCAGTGGTAAAGGAAGGCATTGAGGTGGGCAGAACTCACAGAAGGGTCAGAGAGAGCAAGACAGGTGGGATCTGCAATAGTAAATGCCAGGAATTTTATCTAGATAGCAGATGAGAGGAGGCAGAAAGGCAGCTATGGGATGGTCACTGAGGAAAGAAAGCATTTAGGAGTTCACTCTAAACCACTGAGAAGCAGTGTCCAGTCTTGTCCATGGGGTCCCAAGGCATAACAGGGGGTCTGGTCAATTCTCTGCAAATGTGCACGTGTTGGTGCTGAACTTCACACCAATGGTGAGCAACGACCTGAAGACCTTCGTCGGGCACTTTGGGAATAATTCTAATTTCTGCCTGGCCATGGCCCTCTACGCACATCCCCCACCCAAGCCCCAAGGTCTTTCCGGGAACGGCTGCGGGCGTACATGGTCTGAGACTTCGGTCTCATCAAGCATGCTATTTGGTGGATGAGCAAGTAAGGGCTTGAGTTGGGGTGTGAACGTCCCTGGGGGAAATGCCAGGGTTCAGCGACTGGCGTAAGAGAAAAGTGGACAAGAGTGTGTGCGAGGGTAACGAGGGGCTGTGACGGTCCCAGGAGGGCTCATCCGAGGGAGCCCCGGCACCGCTTGCCTCACTCACCTAAGTGATCGGCCACTGCACTCCTTCATGAGGCAGTCGCCTGGTGTATAAGCTCGCTTCCAGAGGAACCAAGGGGGCATCTCCAGCCCTGAGCGGCTCTAGTGTCGCCTCTGCCCAGAACTAAAAAGGAGCGAAGAAGACCACCCTGGCGACAAGTCCCCTCCCCCACAGGCACACTCACCTTGTCATCCGCCATCTTCCCTGCCGAAGTTGCTGCGCATGCGCAACCCCGCCTCCTCGGTGCTAAGTGCCGCGGCCATTTTTACTGAGGGCGGAGGTACTTCCGGGCCGATTTCGGGAAGGGCGGAGGCGTCTTCCTGCAGGCGAGAGTGGGCGGTCTCCTCGCGGTTGTCCGGCGCGGCGCGGCGCCTGCTGGGTGCGCGCGCGCGTGCACGGCTGAGGCGCGATGATCTCAGTCGTGCGTGTGCGCGCAGCTAGCGCGTTCGCCTGTGCCGCTGATGAGCTCAGAGTGGCGTGGTGATGTCAGCTTCGCTGTCACCGCTGCGCCTCCCTCGGAATGCGTGCACCCATTCGGGGATCCAGACGCCCGTTTACACGCGCCACTCAGGGGCGGGCAGAGCTGCTTGAACTCGTCCCTTCTGGCCCCGGGACCCGACCCTCCCATCTGGTGTTCGTGCAGCGCTCTCTGCCCTGCGGATTCCGCGCGGAGAGGCTGAGCTTGTTGGCGCAGCATCTCCAGAGGTCGAGCTGGGCTGAGAGTGCGGGCCGGCCAAGGCCGGCGGGGACACGACCAGGGATATGCTGGGCAAGGATTACATGTTGGCCATCATTCTGGTCAACTGTGACGGTGTGCACCCGGGGCCCTATGGGAGGATCGTGGACTGAGGGTGGGAGAATAAGGGAGGGTGAAAGCCCATCCCAGGACCCAGAGGCAGGAAGGGGGTATGTCTCTACGTGACTAGTGACTTGATTACCGCACTAACCAAAGTTGGGAGCTTGAACCCTAAGACCGGACCTAGGAGGTTGACCCCTTTGGTTGGAGTGATTGTTTCAGTGTTATTCCGAACCCACGGAAATAGCCCCAGTGTTTCTCCTCCCCACCCCGTGCTCCTTGTAGATGATTTGTGGGGGGACCAGAATCTGGAGGGGGAGGCGGGCCTGCCCCCTGGCTGGAGGAAGATTCGCGATGCTGCTGGTACTTACTACTGGCATGTACCCAGCGGTAGAACCCAGTGGCAGCGTCCAACTTGGGAGCCAGGAGCTGCAGAGGACCCAGGCACGGTAGGTGAAATGGGAGAAGGGGGCCGGGGCCCACGTGTGGGCCTGAGTCTGCTGCTACCCTGACCGCATCTTCTCTCTACAGAGGACTGAGGGGATTTGGGAACTTCGGCCTCCTAAGGGGAGATCTTTCTCCAGCCTGGAGAGTTCCCTGGACCGAAGGTAACAAAGATAGGCCAGGCAAAATGCAAGGCTTGGGGAGGGGATTCCAGGCTCTCAGAGAGAAAACTGAACCCAGTCCGTTTTTTAGCCTGCATTCTAGAGTCAATCTATGCCTAGAACTTTCTTCCTGTTCTTGGCTCTGTTCTATGTGCTGCTTGATTCTTTGCATTTTGAGTTTTGTCTGTTTATTATTATTATTATTACTTATTATTTTTTGGCTACACCCTGCAGTACTCAGGGCTTTACTTCCAGCTCTGCTCAGGGTTCTCTCTTGGCGGAACTTGGTGGGGGGGGCCCACATGAGGTGCTAGGGTTTGAACCCTGCCTGGCCGCATTCAAGGCAGGCATGCTGCCTGCTGTACTGTGGTCCCAGCTCCCTGGAGTCCAGTCTCCTTCCTGTGCCATGTTCTCTGGGTTGATCTGTCATGTACTAGGACTTGACTGCTGTTCTAGGCTCTGTCCATGTGGATCCTGTGTGTTAGGGTTTTCTGGTTTCCACATTTTTTTTTTTTTTGCTTTTTGGGTCACACCTGGAAATGCACAGGGGTTACTCCTGCCTCTGCACTCAGGAGTTACTCCTGGCGGTGCTCAGGGGACCATATGGGATGCTGGGAATTGAACCCGGGTCGGCCGTGTGCAAGGCAAATGCCCTACCCGATGTGCTACTGCTCCAGCCCCTCTGGTTCACATTTTTACCCTTACTCATTTGTAACCTTTACTCTGCATTCTGTGGTTTGAATTTTCCCTCAAATTCTGTGTCACAATCTGTTACATCCACTTAATATGTCCTGGACACTGTCCTGATCTGGGGGTTTTATCTTGTGACCATCGTCTATTCTTAGTCCCACCAAGTATGCCTTCTGTAGGAAGAGTTCCTCTTACCGTATCTGCTCTGTTCCAGTAACTCCCTGACCTGGTATGGCGAGGAGTCATACGCCCAGAACTTGGAGCCAGGAGCTAAGGTAGTGACTTGGGCCTGAGTTGCCAGCCCGAAGCATTGGGGATAATAGAAAGGGCAGAGGTAGAGGGGCTGGAGTTATAGTACAGTGGGTAAGGTGTTTGCATTGTACATGACCAGCCTAGGTTCGATCCCTGGCATCCCATATGTTCCCCAGAGCACTGCTAGGAGTAATTCCTGAGTGCAGAGCCAGGAGTAACCCTGAGCATCACTGGTTGTGGTTCAAAAACAAAAAATAACAACGAAAACAACAATAAAATGAAAAGGGAATGTCAGGGGAGGGGTTGGATCAAGCAGAGATGGTATGCAGAGAGGAGGTATCAGGGTTTATAGGAAGCTGTGGTATCCCATTTTACTCAGCTCTGCATCTTCTCTCCTTCCCCCAATCCTCATCAGTGCTTTGCAGTTCGCTCTCTGGGATGGGTCGAAGTACCCGAAGAGGACCTGGTACCAGGAAAGAGCAGCATCGCGGTCAATAACTGTATCCAGCAACTGGCCCAGACCAGCAGTAGGACCCAGCCTCCAGATGGTGCCTGGGGTGAGGTGAGCTGGTGGCCTTCTAGGGGTCCAGCAAAGGGCTCCTCAGGGATAGTTTTCCCTGAATTGGCTTTTCCAATTCACTGTAGTCACTGACCTTATCTGAGCCTGGCTGACCTCTATTCTTGGCAGGGCCAGAATATGCTGATGATCCTGAAGAAAGATGCCATGAGCCTGGTGAATCCCCTGGACCACAGTCTGATCCACTGTCAGCCTCTGGTGCACATCCGGGTGTGGGGTGTGGGCAGCTCCAAAGGCCGGTGAGGATCCTTATACAGTGAGAGTTGTTCCTCCCTCCCCCCACCGCCCCTGTGATCCCCTTCCCTCATCCCCCTGATGATGATCCCCTGTACTTGAACCCCTGGACACAGGTCCTCTGACATGGACCCGAGCTCTGCCTCCCCTGCCTGGTCCAGCCCTGGTGGGGGAGGGTGGGCCCAGCTCGGCGGGGACAGATGGGGGAGAGTCTGAGAGGCGGGACTGATTCTGTCCTGTGCTCCCACATGCTTCTGGAACAGTGACAGGTGAGTGGCAGCAGAATGCCTTGAACCCCAGCGCAGACCCCCTTTTTCATCCTTGCCGGAGACCTCACCTAACTGCCCAGTGTCCTACAGGCACTGGAGACCCCTGCTCCTGCCAGCCTCTGTCCCTGCCTGATCCCTGCCCCAGCCCCTCTATCTCTGCCCCTGCCAGGAACTTTACCCCTGCTCCTGCCAGCCTTTGTCCCTGCCTGATCCCTGCCCCAGCCCCTCTATCTCTGCCCCTGCCAGGGACTTTGCTTTTGTGGCGGGCGACAAAGACAGCTGTATGCTCAAGTGTCATGTGTTTCGCTGTGACGTCCCTGCCAAGGCCATTGCCAGTGCCCTGCATGGGCTCTGTGCCCAGGTAAGGGCCAAGAATGGGGCAGGGTACGTGAGCAGGGATCTGGGTTGGAAGCTGCTGGGTGTAGCTGGTTCGGGTGTTGGTTCCTCTACCTCAGTCCTTGGCACACTGTGCCTCGTGTCACCTGTGTTGTGTTTCAGATCTTGTCCGAGAGAGTTGGGGCCAGTGGTGGTTCTTCTGGCTGCTCCCTAGACCCCATTTCCCCAGAAGACCTGCCACGGCAAGGTATGGCCAGGGACCTGCTGCACCATGGCCACAGATTGCTTTGGTGCAAGATGCAGGCGGTGTCCTGGTCATTTAGAATTTCCCTGGGGACGGTGGGCTGTCCTGGGCCCAGGAATCCTAAGAGCTGAGCTGGAGGAGCATCCATGGCCTTGTACTTGCTCCAGCTCTCTGGGAAGGGCTGGGAAAATGGGAGGGGGGTGAGAGAGAGAGAGAGAGAGAGAGAGAGAGAGAGAGAGAGAGAGAGAGAGAGAGAGAGAGAGAAGATAGAGGGGAGAGAGAGGAGAGACAGATAAAAAGAGAAGACAAAGGAGAGGGAGGGAGAGAGAAGACAGAGAGGAGACAGAAAGAGGACTTCTGTGTGTTTCAGTGGAACTGCTGGATGCAGTGAGCCAGGCGGCTCAGAAGTATGAGGCACTCTACATGGGCACCCTGCCAGTCCCCAAAGCCATGGGTGAGCACTGAATGTACAGGGTGTGACTGGGAGGGAGGAGGACAACCTGACCCTCCATTGAGTATCCCATGGCCCTCTGTTCTCATCACTCTGAATTCCAAGCCCCTTCTTTACATCTGGGCGACACCATGGTGGACATGTCCCCCCAGGCATGGACGTGCTGAACGAGGCCATTGGTACTCTCACCATGCGGGGGGACCGGGATGACTGGGTCCCCACCATGCTCAGTGTGTCCGACTCTCTCATGACTGCACATCCCATTCAGGTACCTGGACTGGGGTTGGGCGGGTGGATGGGGATGCTGAGTGGTCACTGCCGGTGGCAGGCTGAACTCAGTGACTCCGGTCAGGGCCGATCTTCCGGTGATGAGGCTGGGTGTGGACAGGCTGAGGCTGGTGAGGAGGAGGAGCCACTATGGCAGTGTCCTGTGCGCCTTGTGACCTTCATTGGTGTCGGTCGCGACCCACACACCTTTGGCCTCATTGCCGACCTGGGCCGTCAGAGCTTCCAGTGTGCAGCCTTCTGGTGCCAGCCCCATGCAGGGAGACTCTCGGAGGCAGTGCAGGCTGCCTGCATGGTGAGTTGGGGTGGGATGGGTGCATGGGGCTACCTTGAAGCTGGGGCTTTTTGTTTGTTTTGTTTTTGGCTTTTTGGGTTACACCCTGCAATGCAATGTTACTCCTGGCTTCTCACTCAGGAATTACTCCTGGTGGTGTGCGGGGGACCATTTGGGATGCTGGGGATCGAACCTGGGTCAGCCATGTGCAAGGCGAACACCCTATCCACTGTACTATCGCTCCAGTCCCTGTTTAGTTTGGGGGCTACTCCCAGGGTGCTCAGGGCTTTCTAAGCTCAGGAATTATTCCTTGGTACTCAGGGCTTCCTTCTAGCTCTGCGTGCAGGGATCACCCCTGGCAGGACCTGGGGGACCATATGGGGTGCCAGGGATTGAACCCAGGTTGGCTTCATGCAAGGTGTTCGAACCACTGTACTGTCTCAGGCCCTGACTTGCAGCTTCTTCATACTGGTGACAGCACTGGTGCTGGGCCCTCTCCAGAGATCACAAGCTCACAGCTGCAGAGCTGATGGGCACACTAGTGTTCTGCTCAGCTCTCATGCTGTTTTTACTGTTTTAATTGAAACTGTCTGACACTAGGTTCACATGTCTACAGTTCCACGCTTGGCTGGAATTGGTGTGCCCTGAGGGATTGCCGTTCTTGTTTGTCTCATACAGGCTGTATCCTGGCATCTCTGGGCACTAGGGCATGGGACACTTTAACTTTGTAAGATGATGTCACTCTTTCACTGAGGAAATGAGTGTTAGCAGGGGCCCAGGAGTAGTTGGGGAGTTCCTTGATAAGGGGTTATAGTCGTCGATCTTATGAGCAGAGATGCTTCAGAAAGAATATGTGTACCCCAGTATGATGAAGACAGAGCCCCTTCAGAGGTCTGGGAAGGCTACCTGAAGTAGGTAATAACACTGCTGGGAGTGAGCTGCACAACACTCAAAAAAAGTGATTTAAAAAAAATCTTGGGCTGGAGAGATAGTACAGCAGGTGGGCACTTGCCTTCCTCATGGCCGACCTGTGTTCTGTTTCTCCCTCTTGCCCTTTTCATAGTGATCCCTAAACATCGATGGGTGTGACCCCAAAACTAAAACAAATATAAACTAGTCGAAGGTCCAATCCAAGGAGGAAAATAAAACCAAGTAAAGGGTAATCAAATAAAGTATAGGGAACCCTAGCTGTGAAGGTGAGAGGGATATTAGTGGGTCAGATTATCTGACAGAAATATATTCTGGAGCTGGAGAGTTGTTCAACAAGCTGGCACACCTGCTTTGCATGCAGGAGGCCTGGGTTCCATCCCTACTTCCTCATGATACCCTGAGAGTAGCCCCTGAGCACTTCTGGGTGTGGCCCAAAAATGTCAAAAAGAATAAAGAAAATAGCATATCTGAAATGCCAGGGAGATGGAGTGAGAGGTGGGGCCAGAGTGAATGACAGAAACCAGGTTGTGGAAGGACCTACGAGTCAGGCTAATGTTAATTTTATCCCTAGTTAGTCCGAGCTATGGAAGAGGTTTGAAGAAAGGTCAGTGAGGTTGGGAGTGAGGGTTGGAAGCCCACTAAAGCTACAGTAAGGGTCAAAGATTTGGAAGACTTTCAGGAGAAACAGTAGGAAGACCTTCCATTTAGAGTGGGTTCAGATGAGATGATGCGGGCAGTTGGTTGAGAGCGGGGTTTGGGCTGTACACCTCCCTGACAAGGGACTCTGCGGTGTCCGACCAGTTCACTTCAGTAAGAGCAAAGAAGGTAGCAGATGGTTGGTTTAATAAGAACAGGCTCTCACGCTGGAGTCCTGGTTCTACCTGTGTGTGTGTGTGTGTGTGTGTGTGTGTGTGTGTGAGAGAGAGAGAGAGAGAGAGAGAGAGAGAGTGACATTGGGTGAAGTTGTGTATTCTTGGCAGAAGTTTCCTCCTTTATGAAATGGGCAGTTAAGTGAATAATACTTGATAAGTGACTGCATTAAGTTGGATGACAAAAAGGTTTTTTTTTTTTTTAATTTTAGGGCTTACTAAAATACCAAGGGGGCTTACTCCTGGCTTGGTGCTTGTGGGTTTCTTGCGGTGGTGATTAGGGGAGATCTGCTGGTTTTGGGATTGAACTCAGGCCTCCTGCATGCCAAGCCTGTGCTCAGCCCATTGAACACTCTCTGGCCCCTGGGAGTTTTTAGCACAGCGCCCCGCCCTCCTGCATGCTCAGTAATTTTCAGGTTGTGTTTTTGTTGTTGGGTTGTGTGGAACTGTCGTAGCGGTGTCTCAGGCCACACTAAAGCCTTCCTGCAGAAGCTATCAGGGAGCCGAGGCACTGGGAGGAGCTGGTGGCTTACCTTCCCCTTCTCCCTAGGTGCAATACCAGAAGTGTCTTGTGGCCTCCGCAACTCGAGGCAAGGCCTGGGGTGCCCAGGCCCGTGCCCGCCTTCGGCTCAAGCGGACCAGCTCTGTGGACTTCCCAGGTCCCCTGCCCCTCCCTCTGCTCAAAGGAGGGGTTGGGGGTGCAGGGGCAGCCCCTCGCAAGCGGGGAGTCTTCTCTTTTCTTGATGCCTTCCGGCTGAAACCGTCTTTGCTCCATATGTCCTAAGTTGAGGATTGGAGAAGAGGTTCTGGACCCGTGTCCAGCTCTACCCCAACATTCCCCAGGGCCTATGGCCTCTCATTCCTTTGGTGGCCTCTCCTTTGGCACTCTCTTTACCTGTCCCTGACACCCTTGCCCACTCTCTATTTATTGCCGTATTTATTGTTTATAGGATGGCTGAGGGGCCCAACACCACACCTAGGCCCCTGGCTTCTCTCCCATTGCGTCCCTGTATTCCTTGCCCCTGTTCAGCTCTGGACAGTTGGCTCTACCTCAGCAACACTTTATAGCAAAATGAGTACAAATAAAAATCCCACAGTGATCTCACTGGGTGTGAGTATTTTGGGCCTGGGATAGGGCTGAGGGGTTAACAATCTATTTCTGTGCTCGGTGATTTCCTGTGGGCACATGAGAACGTGGGTATGATAGAAAATAAATTTGTTGAGTAACAGATTCCCAAGAGCTCTTCTGTGCCAGGTACTAGCCTAGGCATCAGGGATGCAATAAAATGGTCATAGGAGCTCCATCTTCTGAGTCTGTCAGAAAGGGTGGAGATGAAGAATCAAACAAGATAGAAAGGGCGCTTACGCTGCCCAGCCCAGGGGCTGCCTGTGCCCAGGTATTGCTGCTGAGGTATGTGGTGCCCAAGCACGCATCCCCACCTCCCCCCAGATGTGTTCTTTGATACCTTCATACTTTAAACGCGGGATGTGTTCTGGGGCTCTCTGTGCCTTTGGAGGAGCCGGTGTTCTCTTTCTTTCCCTTCTGCTCCTTCCTCAAAACTTTAAAATAAAACCTGTTTTTACTTTAAAACAAGATAGAAGGTGATATTTAGTACAACTAGTAAATTTAAGTGTGGGAATTCTGGTGAGACCAGAGACGACATTAACCCATAAGCTTCTTAGGCGGACATACTGAAGGAACTCGAATATGCAGCAAGAGAGTACAATCGAGGACTACAGAGGCAAGGTTCTAGTGCTAGACCTCGACCGTGAGACACCTAAGTAGGGCAGAAGTTCTGTGATTAAAGTTGCTCCTGGCACTAGGCAGAAAGCGCAAAGGGGTAGTGCTCCTGAGGGACCTTTGGGGTCAATCCCTGGTACCGCGGTACAGCATAGTACCTGCCTAGTACCACCGGGAGCCCTAAACCGCGTAGGCGTGGCCCCCAAACGCCAAAACTAAAAGCTGGGATCCGCTGAGGCGCAGCCAGGACCCAAGGAGACCCAGGACTAGGGTGCCGCCTCCCGGGAAGCCGAGCCAGTCGCCCCAGCACCGGCCCCCGGAGCCACCGGGTCCGCATCGTCCGGGCCTCGGGCGGGCCGCCCCGGAAGTGACGCGCTGCCCCGCTGGCCGTGCGGAAGTGGAGATGGCGGAGCTGTACGTGAAGCCGGGTGAGCGCGGTCTCCAGGCTAGGGGGGTCCCCGCGCAGGGTACGCGCCGCCGGCCCCCCGGCCTCTCCCCGCTTCTCTTACACGGCCCCTCACCTCCGCAGGCAACAAGGAGCGCGGCTGGAACGACCCGCCGCAGTTCTCGTACGGGCTGCAGACCCAGGCGGGCGGACCCAAGCGCACCCCGCTCACCAAGAGGGTCGCCGCCCCGCAGGATGGACCCCCCAGAGGTGCGTGGGAGCCCTGTGCGCCGACACCCGCCGAGAATAGGCAGGGCCGGAGCAGCTTTCCGGGCCACCGAGGACTCCCCCCCCCAGGAAGGAAGGTCAGAGCCCCCGAGAGGGGCTGGGCAGCAGGCCTCTTTCTGAGCCTTAACGGTTTTTGGTAGTTCTGTAGTCTAATTTCCAGTCTTGCTTCCAACATGGTCTTTCCCAGAACGTCACGGCACTGTGTCCATTGGTCTACACTTTCACCTGGCCTTTGTAATAAGCATCTTTGCCTTAAAACGTTAATCATTGACCGAATCGGTTTTATCTCCTAAGCACTTACTACGACTCAGGCGCTATTTGAGGGTTAGCCAGACCGAACACGACAGTAGGTTTCGGCTTTCTTAGAGTTAACTCCCTAGTTGAGGCGCTAGACAAGTAGTGGTAATCTGTGGACAACAAAACGCTGCGACGTGAGTGGGTAACAAAGTTAGGAGGCTGAGGGACAGACGTTTAAGCTAAATCTGACGGCAGCAAACCAGTAGCAGATCAGGTGCAAGAGCATCCCAAACACTGGAAACAGCTGGTGCAAAAGTTCTTGAAAACACATTTGGCAATTTTGGACTGAAAGAGTGCCCAGTTGCTGGCACTGAGGACTGGAGATAGAAATAAGATCTGAGAAGCGGGTGGGGACCAGATTCTAGTGGGTTTTATAAACTGAAATAAGTTAGTAAAGACAACCATTGAAAAGTTTGTCAAGCCTTTTCCTCTGAGCATTTCCAATGCCTATAGGTGGTGCTGTGGCCCAGAGAAAGCAGCTTAGATCCAGGCATTTCATCATCCTGTTCTCCACACTGGCAGTGCTAGAAAGAAATGGTAGAAATTATGGTTTTAATTTTTTGTTGTTGTTGAGTTTCTGGGACATCTGGTGGTGCTCAGGGGACCATATGTGGTGCCGTGGATGGTACCAGTGTTGGATGCATGCAGCACAGCACCTTAACACCTGTACTATCTTTCTGGCCCCTAAATCATGTTTTGTTATTGTTTCTGGGCTTACTCCTGGCTTTGTGCTCAGGGATCACTCCTGGCAGGGCTGGGGGACCATATGTGGTGCTAGGGATGGAACCTGGTCAGCTGCATGTAAAGGAAATGCCTTACCCTCTCTGCCCCCAAATCATGGTTTCTTACTGTGGCACTGTTTACATCTCAGGCAGTCAAATATTTGTTGTATTCGACTATACATTATAGAAGGTTACCATCAAACTTCTACCCACCAGACTCCTCTACCCAGCAGCTCTGTCATTCAAGTGTCTTTAGACATTTGCTCTGGGAGCAAAATCTCCCCTGGCTGAGAATTATGGACTTTTTAATATCCCTTATGGTGGGGTGTGGGGGAGCTATATCTGGAAGCTATTGCCTGTGAAGTGCTTGAGGTCACACCTGGGTGGTGCTAGGGATGGAACTTAAGAGTTCATGCATGTCAGTCATGTACTCCAGTACTCAAAAACTCCATTCCCCTGATTTATATCTTCAAAAAGGTATGTCTGCTGACACGGATTTTAGGAAGGAAATAGACAAATTAAGAGACTATTAGGGAATATAGAAAAAAATTTGATCAGGGGCCGGAGCGATAGTACAGCAGGTAGGGTGGTTGCCCTGCACACGGCCGACCCGGGTTTGATCCCTAGCATCCCATATGGTCCCCCGAGCACTGCCAGGAGTTCCTGATTCCTGAGTGCAGAACCAGGAGTAAAGGAGTAATCCCTGAGCATCACTTGGATGTGACCAAAACAAACAAACAAACAAACAAACATATTGATCAAAGGTGAGGTGCTAGAGATAGTAGAAATTGGACAGATAGGGAAAGTGTTTCAGAGAAATTAGGATGCGAGGGAATCAATGTAACTTCAATTTTTTTTTTTTTTTTGCTTTTTGGGTCACACCCGGCGATGCCAGGGCTTACTCCTGGCTCATGCACTCGGCTCATGCACTCAGGAATTGCTCCTGGCGGTGCTCAGGGGACCATATGGGATTCTGGGAATCGAACCTGTGTCGGTCATGTTGGCTGCGTGCAAGGCAAACGCCCTACCTGCTGTGCTATCACTCCAGCCCCTGTAACTTCAATTTTTTGAGGGAAAGAGAAAAGCAAGTTTTCTATCTGGGCATGTTAAATTTGGGCTGCAGTTTGGGGGTTGAGGGTGAGGTCTAGGTCAAAAATAGAAATGAGTCATCATTAATGGTCATGTCTGGCATAAACACAATTAAGATTCATGTAAGGTGAGTGTATCAATAGAAAAGAAATTAGCAGAGACAACTATGAGATAGTCATGAGTAAGAAGAAAAGTGAAATTCATGCTGGGAGAGTAAAAGCTTGATTCAAGGGTGACAGATGCCACTGAGAGGTGAAGTTAGAAGGGATCACTAATCTTAGGTACATGGCTGGGTTGGGATTTTATTTTTGGGCCACACCCAGTGAGGCTCAGCAATTACTCCTCGCTCTGCGCTCAGGAATTATGTTGGCAGTGCTCAGGGCTGGAGCGATAGCACAGCGAGTAGGGCGTTTGCCTTGCATGCGGCCGACCTGGCTGACCTGAGTTTGATTCTTTTGCCCCTCTCGGAGAGCCAGGCAAACTACTGAGAGTATCTCGCCTGCACGGCAAAGCCTGGCAATCTACCCATGACGTATTCAATATGCCGAAGACAGTAACAACAAAGTCTCACAATGGAGACGTCACACCTCAAAATGGAGACATTACTGGGCTGCTCGAGCAAATCGATGAATAATGGGAGGACAGTGCGGACAGACAGTGCTCAGGAGAACATATGGGATGCCGGGGACCAAACCTGGGCCAGCATGTGCAAGGCAAATGCCCTTCCTCTTGTACTATTGCTCCAGCCCTGGCTAGGTTGGTTTGGAGGTAAGAATTTTGTAAAAAGAAAGACTTTAATTCATTCAAGAAATTTGGCTGTGAAGCAGATATGAGCAGTATTTGGAGATGGGATGTGAGGTAAGAGAGACTTATTTATTTTATTATTACTTTTTAGTTTGGGCCAGACCCAATGATGTTGGGGATCAAATTGGGGTGGCTCTTGCCTTCAAAGCATGTACTCCGCCCCTTAAGCACCGAGCCTGGAGTAAGCCCTGAGCACAGCTGGGTGAGAGGCCCTAAACCCTGCCCCCCCCCAAAAAAAAAGAACAACGGAAAATCCACCATACTGTTTTTTTCTAAGGCCCTTGCAGGATCTGGAGCCCTTCTTAGCTCTCCAGTGACAGCTCATATTGCTCTCTTCATTGCTAATATTTAGTCACACAGGCCTTACTAACCTGGTTGCTATAATGTATCGGGACTTTTTTTGCTTTTTGGGTACTGCCTGTACCTCTTCCTAGTAGAGTTTCTTCAGGTTTTTTTTTAATTGCATTGGTCTCATTCATTAGTTTTTAACTTTATGAACACTTTTTGCTACACACGAATTTAGCAGCTATATCTGAATTACTTAAAACAACTGCATCCCTATAAAATAAGTGCTTATTATTTTGCAGATTAGGAACCCCAGTTCAGAAGTTAGAGAGTAACCTGTGAGGGGCCCGAGAGATAGTTCAAGGCCTTTGGTGGACTCTGGTTCGAATCCCAGCACAGCATATGATCCCCAGAGCCCTTCCAGGAGTGACCCCTGAGCACAGATGCAGGAGTAAGCCTTGAGTACAGCTTGGGTATATCCATTTCTCCCCTTCCACTCTCCCAACAAAAGAAACCTGTTCGATGTCAGAGTGGGTGAGCTAGGATAAACTAAGATGTCACCTTCAAAAGACTTCCTTGAACACTGTTGTTTCTGAGCCACACCCTGCAATACTCAGGGCTTACTTCTGGCTCAGTGATCACTTCTGGAAGGCTCAAGGACCATTTGGCTTGTCAAGGATCGAACCCATGGTTCTGCCATGTGCAAGGCAAACACTCTGCCTACTGTACTTCACTCTGGCTCCTGAATACTAAGTATTTTCTCTTAAATCATTTTCTTTGTGGCATGTGGCAAAGAAAATCTAGTAATCTTGTTTGCCTATCTTCCTTAGCTGGAGGCCAAGTTCAAGAACTTCATGGCTGGGATTCTGACATTGTCTGGCTAGAAATGTGCTAGGAATTCATTTTTTTTTTCTTTTCTGTTTTGGGCCACACCAGCTAGTGCTCAGGGGTTACTCCTGGCTCTGCACTCAGGAATTACTCCTGGCAGTGCATGGGATGCTGGGGACTGAACCCAGGTCAGTCACGTGCAAGGCAAGTTCTCTACCCACTCTGTTGTGGCTCTATCACTCATATTTTTCATGAGTGAACTGTTACACAGAGTAGCTCTTCTTAGATGGGATGATGTTGAGTTGAGCTTCTTTCCTACCAGTTTAGTTCATGTTTGCTTGATCTTGCCTTTGCTTTTCAGTCCCTACCTCAGAGACTTCTGGGGCACCCCCCATGGGGCCTCCACCTCTTTCAAGTAAGACTTCCATGCCTCCACCTGTGAGTGGTTGTCCTGCCTCCAGTCTAGAACCTACAAATTCCCCAGTCACTGAACATGAGCCTCTGCTGGAAGATGTGCTGACTCCTTTGGAACAGGCATTGGAGACTTGCCGTGGCCAGACAAAGGTAAGCTGTGGCACACCAGTGGATTGATGGGGAAACCTCCTGCCATAAGAGAGTTGAACTTTCGGCTTCCAAATGTAGGCTGTTCCTCTTGAATAATGGCCCTTAGCCTTTCCACATAGATTCCTTCAGAACCTGCTGCGGGCTGCTTAGAAAATTAACACAGGATTTTAGGGGCTAATGTGGCTTTTGAAGGCTAGTCACTAGAAAAAGCTGTGGGAATGGGGCTGAAATGATAGTATAGCAGGTAGGGTGTTTGCTTTTGCAAGTGGCGGACCAGGATTTGATCTCTGGCCTCCAATATGGCATCCCCGAGCATAGACAGGAGAAATCCCTGAGTGCAGAACCAGGATAATCAGTGGGTGTGGCCCAGAAAACCAAAAAATGCTTGTAGGAATGAGATGATCCAATACTCTTTATTAGTGAAGATTCCGTACCTCGGGTCCCTCTTAAGACCACCCCCCCCATTTCTCATTTCCTTTTAGATCTGTTTAAGTTCTCTGGAGATAATGAGCAATGTCAAAGCAAAGAAGTTATACAGTAATTTTCACCTCTTTGGGGCTTCTAACCCTTGAATAAAGCAACTCTAAGGTTAATCATGAAGTTCCTCAGCCACAGAATACAGGTGCTGCCTTTCTCCTGGGCTGGAGTGATAGCACAGTGGTAGGGTGTTTTCCTTGCATGCAACCAGCCCCGCCGAGCTGGGTTCAATTCCTCCGCCCCTCTCGGAGAACCCAACAAGCTACTGAGAGTATCTCGCCTGCACGGCAAAGCCTGGCAAGCTACCCGTGATGTATTCAATATGCCAAATACAGTAACAACAAGTCTCAAAATGGAGACGTTACTGGGCCCACTCGAGCAAATCAATGAACAACTGGAGGACAGTGCTACAGTGCCTTCCTCCTGCCCGCTGGGCTGGCCAAACTGATCTGGGGGGGTTTGTGTGTCTCAGAAGCAGGTATGTGATGACATCAGCCGACGCCTGGCTCTGCTGCAGGAACAGTGGGCTGCAGGGAAGCTGTCAACACCTGTAAAGAAGAGGATGTATCTGCTGGTGAAAGGTGTGGTTTGGTCTTTTTTTGCAGCCTCATTTCCTTGTTCTGCTGTGAGTGGCTTAGTTGGAACAGGTGTTGAGATGATGGCAGGCAGAGAAGGGAGGAATGGTACCTGTTTCTTCCTCTGGACTGCAGGCTCACACCCTCTCTTTCCTCAGAACTTTCAAGTCACCGATGGGATGCTGCAGATGACATCCACCGCTCACTCATGGTGGACTATGTGACTGAGGTCAGTCAGTGGATGGTAGGAGTTAAAAGATTAATTGCAGAAAAGAAGAGTCTGTCTTCAGAGGAGACCAATGAAGAGAAACCTCTGGCCACAGCTGAGGAAATCCAGACCGTACCAGGTGTCCAACAGGCTCTATAAACCCGGGTTTCCCCGACTCACATCACATCATCCTCCTCTGCCTTGGCACGAGAAGCTGCCTCTCACTTGACCCTTCTTCCCATCTGGTTAGCCATCTTACCTACCTGGGCTCTGGCCTGACCTATCTTGGGGGAAGAGGTCCCACCTTGGGCCACAGAGAGGTTATTTTCCCAAAACATACACTTCAATAAAATATCTCAATGGCAGGCCACGGTTTAAGAAAGATGTACCCTTCATCTGTCAAACTGGTCCCCCGCCTATGGTGGCTGCCCTACGTCAACCCTACAAACCTCTTTTTTCTCTTATCATGAATGGCCTTAAAGGCATGACCAGATTACAGTTTATTAGTTTCCCACAAATTAGACTTGAAAAGCACATCTTTTGCTGGGCTGAGTAGCCCTGACACTTAATGGTTTCATTTCAGCATGTGAACAGAGGCGTCAATTAAGCACAGGGTGATTTTTGCTCAAGAAAAAACAATTGCCTTATTTGTATACTGTCACTTTTGAATTCTGCCAGCATTATAGAGATTAGAATCAAACTAAAAAAGGAAAGAAAAAAAAAGGGAATGAGATTCCTGAAATGTGGGATCATGACTCTTATTTTCTGGGAAAGGGGTAGGTAGGATCACGACTGTGATTTGTCCAATTAGCTGCTGTCTCAGTGAAACTTTGCTTCTAACCCTTTGAAGACAACAACCAGTGGAAGGGGCCAGAGTGGTTTGTATCATACTATGAAAGAGATACAGGTTTTCAGTGTTGAAATAAAGGGTTGGTACTTAACAGGTAAAAGGCAGAAAATGCAAAGGGAGAGACTGGAGAAGTTTGAAGATTGGCAGTGCCTCTTTTTTCCTGCTTTGGAATGTAGAGGGACTGTGGGTTCAATTCTAGGAATGCCACTTCCTGGAAAGGCTGGAATAGTCCTTCCAGGGGTCAGACTATTATTGCTTATGGTTAGTAGCTCTGGTAGCTTGCCACTGTAATCTGCTGCAGGCTCTAAATAATGGTGGAAATGTGCTCAACGGAAGTGGGAAATAGACCAGAGTCTCTAATCCCAATGAGGGCTTCTGGGGATTTCAGCTGTGTGGCCACAATGGAAGATAAGCATTGAAGAAAACACCGGAGTCAACGCATTTCTTTTAAAGTTTACTAAGCAGTCAGAAGTGACATACTCCGTCCCCCAGTTCCAGTCCCAGCCTCAGTCCATGAGCAGGGAGGGCTGTGGATCAGGAAGGGTGCCTACAGACCAGAGAAAGTTGAGTGAAGGGCTTGGCAAATTGCCCACTCATCTCTGGTCTAGCTGCCTTGGAACTAAGGGAGGCCCAGAACCAACAAGTCACTCCCTTCCAGATAAGATGAAGCCAGTTGGCCTTTGGATACCCCAGAAGAGGTGGTGGCAGCAACGGCAGGAGGGATCCCTCTCACTCCTGCACAGGGTCATCTGCACCGGATTAGATGTCCATTTCAAACTGTGCGTCATCTGGAGAGAGAAAATGCAGAACTAATAGCAGGCTTAGGATCAGTGCAGAAACCCATCTTGAAGTTGAATCCATAACTTAATAGACATTTGTCTTGTCCTTACCGGGTATCTCTTCCTCTGTCTCCTTCTGCTCCTTCAGTTCCTCTAGCTTGGAGATTGGGGCTGTTGGAGTTGTGACCCCTGGAATCTGAGGGAGACAGCAGGGGGGTGTCCGGGCAATGGGTGAGTTCTTGCACTCCAACAGGAACTTTCGGTCGTAGATGATCCTGGTGCCTGTCAAGGGGTAGGGGGGCTCAGTAAGAGCGGGCGCTGGGGTTCAGAACTGCCAGGGGGCTTCAAATACAGGTCTTTAGGGACCTAGGATTTATGTTTCCTGAGTTATTGAAGGGCTACTGTAGGGCTGACACTGATGATGGCTGAGGCTTAATACTGTATGTATGAAACATTACTATGGAGTATTGTAAATTATGGTGCCTAAATAAAAGACTATGCAGCAGAGCCAGAAGGACATTTCTGGGTCTCTTGGAGTAGAGTAAGTAGGTTTCCAATTGGTTAATGCCATTTTATTCATTTTTATTTTGTTTCTGTACCACACCTGGCAGTTCTCGGGGCTTACATCTGGCCCTGAATTCAGGGATCACTCCTGATGCGCTTGGCGGATGGGGACCATGTGGGGTACTGGGGATCTAACTCCAGTGGAATATGTGCAAGGCAAGCACCTTATCTGCTGTACCATCTCTCCGGTTACTGTCAACTAAAAAATTTTAACATAGAAACAAAACTTTTTTTTCCCCTTGAGCTTAAATAAAATGGCTTTTGCTCCATAATGGAAGTGTAAAGTACCAGTGGGCACTTGAGTTCCACAGGTTGCCTCTGTGAGTATCACCCAAATTTGGAGCTGCTGTTTAACCTATATTTTTTTCTTTTTGAGTGACACCCAGCGATGCTCAGGAATTACTCCTGGTGGTGCTTGGGGAACCATATGGCATGCTGGGGAATCGAACCCGGGTAGGCCTTGTACAAGGCAAGCGCCCTCCCTGCTGTACTACCACTCTGGCACCGCTGTTGTTTAACTTAAGACTATTTCCTAGTAGATTGGACTGACTTGGGGTTTGATTGATTTGGTGGGCCCTAAGCCTTTCTGCCACAGTGGTATCAGGAAGTCAAATAGCTATGAAGGTGTTTCCACCCAAATTCCGTTATCCAACAGGAAGGGGCTGTGTTCTCATGAAACACAGGAACGTAATGTTCTTAATCCTAACCCCTCCTAAATCCTATCAAACTCAGTCGGGCCTACAGGAACTTGGTGTCCTCAGAGTGTCCAGCCCTGTTCTGGCTCCTCCCCTCCGCCTCCACGTGGCAGGAACCCCTGGATCCGGGGCCCTGTAACAGATTACGGGCTGTAATGCCTAAACAAACAGTAAGCCAAACTACCCTACCCCCAACTACTGGCCAGTTATACTCCAGCCGCTTTGCAAAACCTAGCACTTCCTACTGAGTCTGCATTTGGTCGGGGCCTCAGCTTCCACAACAAAGCCCCCGAGCCCCCAAATCGGGAGAAGCTAATGAGGAAACCCTGACCAATGAGATTTCAGTTTGCAGTTACCCCCAAGCTAAGCTTCGAGGCCATATTTCAACACTTTAAGCATTTAGGGAAACGGGCCTCAGAACCAAACATCAACCCCCTCCCCCAGAGCTACCACACAGCTGCAGAGGGGCTTGATCGGGAAGTTTAACGCCGCGCTTTCCCACTCCCGCGCCGCGCGACCGCAGGCACTATATGGCCTACCCGCAACCTGCAGATTCCAAACCCGCCCCCGGCCCCCTGACCTCCCGGGGTAGTGGCGTAAAGCGTGCCCCCTGGCGTGGTGCTGTAGCAGTCGGGCAGCCGGTCCCTGCCCCCGGGAATCGGGCAGCTCGTGGACGTGGACATAGCGAACGGGAAGAGCAGGAAGACCAGCAGCTGTTGCTGAGAACGCGGAGCGCGCCGAGTCTGATGCGGACTCAGCCCACCACGTGTGGCCACAGCAACACCACCAGGACGACGTCACGCCCGGGGCGGGCCACCCGCCACTCACCCGATGGCCCCGCCCCAGCTGCGAAGGAACAAGCTCGGGCAAGCAGAAAAGTGGAAAGAGTGTTGCGTCAGGCACAAGCCTCCGTCCAGTTTCTCCTGCTCAGCAAACAGCCTGGCAGTGTTGCCAGGCCAGTTAGGTAGTTTCCAGCTGGGGGCTGGGGGCGACGCGACTACAACGCAGAGTTTTCCCATTCCTCAACAGTTTGGGCAGTAAAGAACTACCTTTACAGTCATATTTTTCAAGTTCAGAGACAACCCAGAGAGGCCAAGTAGCTACTCAAAATGCTTCTTTTAGGAGGGGAAGCTGGGGTTGAGGCTTGAGTATCAAATTCTGGTGCCTGTGACCTTTCAGCACGCGGCTTACAGCCTCCATTAATTACAGGAGAGGGTGCATAGTGCCACCCGGCCAGAAGCTCTCCCGGGTAGGTCAGGGAGGGACGTGGGCTCTCTTTTGGACCACACCCGGTAGTGCTCAGGGTTCTCTTAGCAGGGTTAGGGGGACGACACTGGGTGCAGGGAAGTATCTCTACCTGCTGGGCTGCCGCTCTGGCTCCCAGAGGTGGGCTCTTGGGAAGGAATAGCTGGATTCATGAGATAAAGTAAGGGGTGGACAGGAGACGCCCATTGTGGTCTCTGCCACGACTCAACTCAGAAAACTAAGGGCAGGTGCCTGGTGGGAAGGGCTCATTCTTTAGCAATTAGGAAAAGGGTTTAAGAGTCTGGCTTTGATTTTTTTTTCAATGTAGACAAAATAATAGGAAAGGAGGCAGGGGAGGTGATGGGTGAGTACACACCAAGTCTGTATATACACTGAAAATCTTCATTTGGCCTCTGTCTGGTTTCTTCAAAATCAATATGTTCTTTCCCCCCTCTACCTGCCCAGATTAAGTTAATGGACCCCTGAATCCATGCATCTGTATCACTTCAGTTCTTGGCTTCATCTGAGTTTCTCTTAACTCTTTAATTTGTAAACTCATTAAAAAATATTTAATAAGTTAATGCTTTTTAAAAAACTTCAATGTACATATATAAAAATCACCTGGAGATCTTATGGAAATGAGGATTCAAAAACAGTAAAGGTAAAGGTAAAGGCCCTCCCGTTGATCGTCGATTTGCTCGAGCGGGCCCAGTAACGTCTCCATTGGAGACTTTGTTGTTACTGTGTCTGGCATATCGAATACTCTCGGTAGCTTGCCGGGCTCTCCGAGAGGGGCGGAGGAATCGAACTCGGGTCGGCCATGTTGGCCGCTTGTAAGGCAAACGCCCTACCCGCTGTGCTATCGCTCCAGCCCTCAAGAACAGTAGGTTTGAAATTTTGGATTTTTAGTAAGAGTCAGGTAAGGCAGATCCTCAGGTCTGCAGGTCTTAGACTCACAAGGTAGCAATGATATGGGTAGTTTATGTTCTGAAAAAGGGTCCTGAGCCTCCTACAAAATAGTTTATGCTTTGAGCAATAGTCTGCAATGCTGGAGAATAAGCCTTGGAAGCGGTGTGTATAGTCATTTCTGAAAAACAGCTTTTAAAAAGTTGCAGTCTGAGAGATAGTAGAGTGGTAAGGCACTTGTTTTATGTGTGGCTGTTTGGGGGTCGATCTACGGCACCCCATATGGTTCTCTAAGTCATGCCAGGAGTGATCCCTGAGCACCACTGGGTTTGGCCCAACACCCTCACCCCACCCTCGGCCTGCAAGAAGTTAAGAAGTTAAGTTGGGAGGGAAGTGGGAGATGGGATGGAGCACAATGAGACAGAAGGTGAAGACACCAGCTTTCTGGGAACAGATGGGCATAAAGGGCACTGGCAGGGCTGGAACGGTAGTACAGAGGGAAGGGCGTTTACCCTGCACGCAGCCGACCCGGGTTTGATCCCTGGCATCCCATATGGTCCCCCAAGCACCGCCAGGAGTGATTCCTGAGTGCAGAGCCAGGAGTAACCCCTGAGCATTGCTGGGTGTGACCCAAAAAGAAAAAAAAAAGGGCACTGGCTGTGAGGAGAAAGTGAGAAGGATCCAGATGTATCCATATACACAGCGAAGAAGCAAGATATGGGTGAGAGAGATGGTGATATACTGCAAAACAAGAGCTGGGAAATGGGTCCAAGGGCCAGTGCACATGCATTGCGTATGGGAAACCGTGGTTGAATTCCTGGCAGTTCAAGGTTCCCTCTGTACTTCCAGGAGTGACCCCAACTCCTTCTCCCCTTTAAAACAGTTGTTACTATTATTTTAACTACTGATAGATGTTTACTTTCCTTGACATGTTGGAATTGAAGTAGTCTCCAATTATGGGGTATAATTGTGGGAGTGCTTACCATTTGTTTGTTTAAAGAAGGTTTGCAGGGCTAGAGAGCTAGTACAGTGGGTAGGGTACTTGCCTTGCACATGGCTGACTTGGGTTCAATCCCTGGCATCCCATATGGTCCCCTGAGCACTGCCAGAAGTGATTCCTGAACAAAGAGCCAGGAGTAACCCCTGAACCTTGCCTATGTGACCCCCAAATAAAAAAAATTACGAAACAGGTTTCCAGTGTATTACTTAGCACCAAAGTATTTTTTTTTTTCCCTCTGAAGAGGGGGGAAAGGTTGGTCAAATAAATTTGGGAACCTCTGATATAAGGAAATAACAAGTCTGCTATTAGGCAAATTACTTTGGACTCATCAATATAAAACATGAAATACAAAATAGTTTTGCGGTATTTCCAAATTAGATCTGAAGTCCAGGCTTCTTCCCTTTATTAGGGGGTGGAACAACCTCTTTTTATTTGCAGTTTATTGGAACTTAATACACTTAAGCTTTGGATACTATCCTTTTTCACAGGAGAGACAAAGGAGATGGAACCTGCTTGTTTGCATATGGTGATAAAATCTCTTGAGGATGAACAGGAAATGTGTGATCAGAGCCCCTCAGCAAAGGCCAGGGTCCACCGGGAAGACGTCACCACCTGCCACATTTCTTGGTAGAAGAGATCTAGGATTAGTCAGGGAACAAGATGTTTTCACATGCTGTTTTCCTAGAGTTTTGTTTGTCTCTTCCAGGTTTTACAATGTGGTCCAAAGGTCTTAAACAGTGGGGCAGGACCAGGTTTACTCATCTCCATTTGACTATAACTTTAATATGGCCAATTTATTCCCCTTGTACACTAATTCTGAGGTCAGACTCTAAAAGAACTGATGAAAAGTGTTGTTCCAGTTCCTGCCATTTCTTACCTCTGGTTAGGAGAGGCCACCATTGGCTGTCCAACTCTCTTCTTCGGTCTGGTTAGCTGAGGTGATGGGATTTCCCCTTTGAGAGCAGGGACGGAAGGAAGCAGACTGGCCTATAAAAGGGCAAGTCAGCACACTGTAGCCACAATAGATTTAAAGGGTCTTAAAATATGAATAATTTTATTGGTGGTGGAAATTTTGTTACACTCAATATTACTTGAAATAAATGGATCCAGAAACCTTGATGATAGCTTTATTCATTGAAACAGCTATTCTCATGCTGTTGATGCTATGCCTCAACTGAATGTTATTTTAGTGACTTGAGGGCTCACAAAGGGTGTGCATGTTCACAGTTTTCTTCTGCCTCAGCTAAAAGCTCAATTAGTAGTGATGCCCCAAATAAGGCTTCTGATTCCATCTGGTTAACTACTGGTAGGGCTTTTCAAACTTCAGTAATGTAAAAATTCTATTAATTTCCAGTATGCTTATATATTCTCATTTATGAGGGAAAAAAAATCTAGGAGACACATTTGGGGAGGTGGGGTGTGGGGGGCACACAGGAGGGGGAGAAGCCAGTGCCAGGAATCCAACTGAGGGCCTTATACATGCAAGGCAAGTGTTATCACTAAGCTATGTCCCTAGCGCTAGGAGACTTCTGAGTTCTGTTGTACTCAATTTCAGATGTGGAAAATGAAGCCTAGAGAAAAAAAAGAAATGACTTGTCTAAAGTAGATAACTTCAAATGGCAGAAATAAATAGAATGTAGGCTACTGACTCTTGTTCTACTATTCCCATGCTGCCTCCCTCCCCGCATCCCTTGTATATTTTGAAAGTGCTTACCTGAGCTAGGCTTAATCCAAGGTTCAGGTTGGTAAAATAGCAGTAAAGTAATGCCAGGAAGAGGCAAGACAGAGGAAGAAGAGATTACAGCAGGCAAAATGGGGTGGGAAGTAGGCTACTGGGATCCAAATAGTCAAAGAAAAGAAGACAGTGCTGGTAAAAAGTTATGGATGAGGGTGTCCTAAACACTTCCAAGTGAATAGTTCCTGTTTCTTTCTAACCTTCTTAATTTCTCAAAATTGCCTCACTTTCCCCATGAATTCTAGATTTTGATCTGAGATAAAATTTAATTCTGTGATCCTCAAAGTATTAGCGATAGGATTAAGGTTCTTTCAGATAATTTGGATGTATTTCAGATAAAGCAGAACAAAACTCACCTTTTGTGAATAATTTATTTAATATTGCTGACTAGCATGTTTCATCAAGACCTTTATTCCTTTCACTTATAGTGATCTTTTTAGTAGTAAGTGGAAACAAGATTTGTAAATAATTCACAGGGTCTTTTTATCACCCTCATGGTAATGGGTCTTTTCAGAATACACGATGAAGTTATCAGGTACTACAAAGGCAGTAGCTTCCACACCAGGGATATTTCCAAATCCATTCAAAACATAGAAATTTGGGCTTAAAGAAATCCCCTCATAGGTAAAATTACATGGAAGATTAATTACCAGGTATGTCTAGTGCTAGGCAGAAAAGAGAGTAGAAAAGTGATGTTTATATGGTTCTGGCTCTAGGTAACATTTTTCTGTGCATCCTTCTTTGTTTTGATGTATTTTGGCTTTGTTCTTTCAACCTGAAACATTTTGTTTTCTTTCTCAGACCGCTTTTACGTAAGACCAGGAGATTCAACTATTCTAAAACGTGAAAAAGTCAATGACTATTCTTTTCAATAGGGTGGTTTTTCTTTCTCTGTTGC